GGAGCACGGGCCGAGCGAATTTCCCATACTAGCACCATTAGTTTGCGTGCAGATGTTGCCATTATGGTCGTAGATGGGGACTATTGTTGTGCATGCATGTAATAATTTTTTGAGGATATTCGGTTTGATGGATGGAGACGGAAAAAATTATTTCTGTACACAGAATTAAAGATAATGCCAATGGTTTGAACGACGGAAACGTTTGTGAATAAATTTTCAACGCTGAGTAATGCTAAAATACCCATACATTCAACCCATACGTTCCACACAACCTATGCATTCAGTTAAAAACTAAAAATATCATAGTATAGCCGAAAGTACTTGGAAATGCAGAATATTTGGACACTATTTATAAAATTTGTGTCCAGAAAATAAAATACTTGTACAAACACAAGTAAAATTAAATAAAAAGCTTAATCGCGGTGCCTTGTCAGTCGTCTTTAACGAAGCATGTATAAAAGAAGGTTTGCTGCCTAAATACCATGGGTGTGCGTGAGTAAGTTTTAATTGTGAAGTTTTCTTTAAATTATAATAATATATACATATATTTATACAGAAATAGTCAATATTGTTATATCATAGATACATCTACCTCGATCCTACTCTATCAGTCTATTTGCGTCTGTCTGTCTCTCTCTCTCCCTCTATCTATATATATTTCATAAACCACATATATCAAGTAAATATTATATATATATATATATATATAATATTTATATGTGTATATATATATATATATATATATAACATTTATATATATATATATGTATATATGTGTGTGTGTGTGTGTGCGTGTGTGTGTTTGTGTGTGTGCAGGTATGTAGAAAATTAGGAAAGAACACGTTAGGTAAATAATATGGAGTTCTTTAGTATTTTTGTACTTATTTTTAAAAAAACAGTGCTCAATACAGAAGTAGAGCTTAAATTATAATTATTTAAAAAAAAAATTATGATTCCTTCGCTACATAAGAGTTTTCATGTTTCAAAAGTGAGAGCCGAAACCCTCAATATAATTATTAAGATTAAATTGAATTAAAGTAACAAGCATGTTTCATCCTCAAGCGAAAATTTAAGAATAACGGAAACGGCTGGGGCGACCATTTTTGGTAAGGGGTTAAGCGTTAATTTTTATCCACATATCAGTCACCTTCAGGGAGAGATCAAGCTGAGGTAGGGTGGGGTGTCTATTTCAAAGTGAATTATGGCATTCATGTATTTTGATCTGGATTTGTATTTCTTACATTTTACATTGAGGACCTTGTTTTACGGCTTCGGCTTATTTAATGCACATTGTAGACTTAAGTTTAATTTCATATATACATAGACACAGACCCCCCACACACACACGCACACAAATTTATATGTATGTATATCGTAATAAGATACTTTAAATGTTCACTTATTCCTACTCATTTGAGTGGAAATTGAATCCACTCTTCAGCACTTGAAATTTTAAATAATTACAATCAGCACCATTGAAGACCGGAGAGCATCACCCAGCAACCCTGAGGCGGCATAAGATAAGTGAATCTTTATTTTTAACTATATCTCTGTCAATGCTTTATATTTTGATAATTACAAAGAAAACTTTCCTTAATAATAAAAGTGATCCTCCAAAAATACTGTGGTCAGACTTTTTCTTTTGTGAAAAACGATCATTGTCTATATATATATATATATGTGTGTGTGTGTGTGTGTGTGTGTGTGTGAGAGAGAGAGAGAGGGAGAGAGAGGGAGAGAATATGATATATACATTTCTGTATATCACAAAATGTTAGGAAATTGAATAGCAAATTTTGTAACGCGTTTCCCTCTCTAATAGGACTTCATCAGTCAAAACTAATGGATGGAAATTTTATATATGTGTAAGGAGGAGGGGAATATAAACGTCATGAATTTTACAATAATTTCGATTTAAAAAAAATGCTGCCTTAATTGAAAAGAAAACAATTTCTTCTTCTTCTTTATGTGCCGTGTCCCTTTAGGACGTAAGAGATCATGGTTCTCCACAACTTCCTGTCCTTTGTAGCTCTTCATAAATGTTGTCTTTCTGATATTTCTCCTAAACCTTCTTTCGTCATTCATTTTCTTAAGTACGTTATACTTCTTTTTCCTCTGTCCCTCTTGCCTTCAATTTGCCCAAGTCAGTATCAGATTTTCCAAGCCTTCTTTCCTCATTATGTGCCCCAGAAATTTCAACTGTTTCTTCCTGATATTAAGTATAAGTTTTTCTCTAAAATTTCGCCACTGCTCATTTGTTTGGTCCTTGGTATCCTCATCATTTTTTCTATAGAACCACATTTCTGTTGCTTTAAGTCTCCAGTGAACTTTTCTGACGATTGTCCAGATCCCATTACCATACAGGAGGATAGATATCACGTAATAGTTTAGTACTCTTTTTTTTTTCTGTTTCTAGCGATTTTTTCTCTATTTCTTAATACTCTTCTGAGTTTCTGTAAAGTGTCTTTGTCTATCTCAAACGCCTTCAGATTTCAGTGTCGCACTTTCTGTCCGCTGTTAAAACACTTCCTAGATATTTAATTTTTTTTTGTACATGTTTGATGTTGGTATCTCTGATTTGGTCTCATCCTTTTGCTAACCACTATGCATTCTATCCTCTTGCAGTTTGCGTTTAGTCCTTTCTTCTTGCTTTCCTTTACTAAGTTCTGTAAGAATTTTTGTAGTTTTATTTCTATGTCTGCTATCAACACTATATCATCGCATACCTTATGTATTTAAGATAATGGCCACCAATAATAAACCCATCTAGGATTTCTAATTCTCTCAGAATTGCCTCATACCATAGGTTGAATAAATTCGGTGTGAAATCACTTGCACTACTTTCTATTTTTTGTATATCTTCTTTCTTCTTATGTGCCATGTCCTTTCAGGACGTAGGCGATCATGGCTCTCCACCTCTTCCTCTATCCCTTGCAGCTCTCAGCAAGCTCCTTCTCTCTGCTACCCCACCTCAGACCACGTTCTATCATCTACTTGCTTAAGCCCGCCAGGTATGTCGTGCGTTGTTTTCCCTTGTCTCTCTTTCTCCAGGCCCCCCTTCCCACATTATGTGTCCCAGAAACTTAAACTACCTCTTCCTGATGTTAGGTATAAGCCTCCTCTTTGTCTGCATCCTCTCTAAGACCTCATTGTTGATCACACACTGGGTCCATGATATCCTTAGCATCCTTCTGTAGAACCATACCTCCGTCGCCTCGAGTCTCTTCTTCATGTTTGAGGAAATCGTCCATCATTCGCTGCCGTAAGGAAGGACAGATGTCACGTAACAGCTCAGTATTCTTTTTTTATGTTACCAAAGAAATCCTTCTGTCTCGTAATACTCTGCCCAGCTTTTGGAATACGTCCTTGGCCATTCCAACACGTCTAGGAATCTCAGTGTCGCTCTGTCAAAATGCTTCCCAGATATTAAAACTTCAGCGTCTGTTTGATTCTAGTGTTCCTGACTTTCAAATCGCATTTCGGGCTCATCCTCTTAGTGATGACCATGCATTCTGTCTTCTTGTAGTTTGTGCTTAGTCCTTTCTTCTCACTCTCCGTCGCTATCTTCTCTAGAAGATTTTGTAATTTCTTTTCCGTATCTGCTATCAGTACTGCGACAGTATAGGTTCTTGATTATTCTAATATTCTTCCCAAATATATCAAGGTTGCTGAGCTGTTCCATTAGACCTTTGTGCACTTTATCGAACGTTTTTATGTAATCTATAATACACAGGTGTACGCCCTTCTATATTTGCATTGCTCTTTCCGAAAAATATCGCGCCCTTTGTCCAAGTGTATTTGACTAACCCGTACTGTTCTTGTCCTATTTCCGGTCTGAATCTGCTGCGCATGTTATTCATCAAATTCGAATAAGATTTCTTATATGGCTAATTAGGCTGATTGTTCGATGGAGTTTACATTCGTTTGTAACTAGCTTCTTGAACAGTCCTGTGTTAATAAATCTACTTACTTCTTCCGGTACGTCACCGCTATTTACTAAGGCGGGAATATCTAAAATGTGCGCTGATTGAGAAATCATCCACGTTAAATTTTTCGTCCAGATTCTTATAATCTTTCACCTTTGTGGTCGATTTGTTACAAGATGTAAAAGAAACATCGATAAAAACAAAACAAAAAAAATTAAGTGCGTACAGATATGGAATGAGACTGACGAAGTTGTAAGCCAAGAAATGGCGGATGGAAAAATGTCTTTAAATTTTGAAACTCCGAAATTTTTAATTTGACATTCTCACATCATCGGCGCTTCTTTTCGGTGAATAATGCTAACCGACCGTTAAGATCATATTTCCCGCCCATCTTGTCACACATATATAATGTCATCAATATTAAAATTACGTCATCCTTAAAAGGCGAAACAGATTACAGATATTTTTTTCATTTTATCATTCAATTGCCCGATACACACACATACTCATATTATATATATATATATATATATATATGTGTGTGTGTGTGTGTGTGTGTGTGTGTGTGTGTATGCATGAAATATTTTATGACATGGATATGTATGTGTATATTTGCTTACATTTATTGTGTAGTAATATATGTACATAGATAAATCGTAATTAGCTGCATGTTTTATGTATTTGATTTTGCATTTAATCCATGTTTTCAAATATAAATATCTATCTCACCCTATCTCTCTCTCTACACACACGCGCACACACACACATATATATATGTGTGTGTGTGTGTGTGTGTGTGCGTGTGTGTGTTTGTATGTATGTATGTATGTATGTATGTATGTATGTGTGTGCGCATTTTTCTATATAAGTAAATGAACTTCACTATCTTAACGGCTGGATATAAATCTTATTATTTAAATTTTAGAATGGTCAGTTTTTTCAAATTGTGCCTGGCGATTGCTACATGCATGTAACTCCCAGACTTGTACTAAACAGCGAGGGACAAAATGTATTCTTATTTATAGTTTAAATTTATTTTACATCCCACACTCTTTTATTACAACCAGTACTCACTATGCGCTATCACAAACACACACACAGATAGATAGATAGATAGATAGATAGATAGATAGATAGATAGATAGATGAGAAAGAAAGCGGTAAACATAAGGACTAAAAACAGTTATTTTTTTTTAGATTTATACGTCTTCTAAAGATGAAATATCTTTTTGTGGTGAATCAAATGGACTTTTCGATTAAATATTGTATGTTACAAAATATTTTCTTTTATTTCCTGTTGATAATAGGTTACTTCATGTAAAACAACCAAATATTTCTAATAATTCTTTAAAAAAAGAGAATTTTTTTTTATTTCTGAAAATTGAAAAGGAAGTTCTGGTATTTTACCGTTTTCCGTGAAGTTCTGTTGAAAAGTTTGTTTTTTTGTTTATATCAGGAAATGATAATAAAATTTATTTGCTACCAGAATTACCGTTTTTTTTTTCTAATATTTATAGCAACATTAATTCAATTTGATGATAGTTAAAGCGAAACATTCTGATTAATAAACATGATCAAAATAATGTTGTTGTAATTACATTCAAGATGTTTTAATGCTGTCAAAAGATAACAAGTAAATAAAAATCAAAACAAAATACAATAGTTGACTCATAGAGGAATTAGCAACCCCCCCCCACACACACACAAAACAATACAACCCTTTCGCGTTGGTCCTCGTCTTTGTTCCAAAAGTGGTTGTTTAAAACTTTTATCTTCATTTTTTTATGAATGGAGAAGGCCTAGAGTAGAGAGGACAAATAATGTAACGTTTTTATAAACAGAGAAATTGGAGGCATTGTGAATTCACGTTTAGATCGCAATTCACTCTGACTCACTTTCTTTCTCCGTCGCTCTCTATACTTCCAACGTTCTCCCGCCCCACTCTCTCTCTCTCTCGCTCTCTCTCTCTATCTATCTATCTCTCTCTACTAAACAAACACATTTCCCCTCAAAATTTGTTAATGTCTATCAGTCCCCTCCATACTCTGAATCGCACACACATACGCATAATCTATCTATCCTTTTGTTTATATCTATCTATCTATCTATCTATCTATCTATCTATCTATCTATCTATCTATCTATCTATCTATCTATCTCATTTTGCTCATTATCTATCTATCTATCTATCTATATATATATATATATATATATATATATATATATATATATATATATATATATATATATATATATATATATATATATATATATCCCATTCTGCTCATATCTATCTATCTATCTATCTATCTATATATATATATATATATATATATATATCATTCTGCTCATATCTATCTATCTATCTATCTATCTATATCTATCTATCTATTCATCTATCTATCTATCTATCTGCGTATCTCATTCTGCTCATATCTATCTATCTATCTATCTATCTATCTATCTACGTATCTTATTTTGCTCATATCTATCTATCTATCTATCTATCTATCTACGTATCTTATTTTGCTCATATCTATCTATCTATCTATCTATCTATCTATCTATCTATCTATCTCTACGTATCTCATTTTGCTCATATCTATCTATCTATCTATCTATCTATCTATCTATCTATCTATATATATATATATATATATATATATATATATATCATTCTGCTCATATCTCTCTAACTATCTATCTATCTACCTATCTTATTCTGTTCATATATACTCAAAACACGCAAAAAATACGTACATGCGTGTTCTATTTCAAGTACTAATCTTTAGAAATTGAGGTTATATGAAAAACAAATTATGTAATTAAACTTAAAATTAATTGATAAAATTAAAATAAGTATATTATTAAAAATGAACAACTTTATTATTTATAGTCAGTCCGTAAACAATCTGTAACATTCAACGTAAAGAAATGACAGGAGAAACCGCTTCCCGTCTGCCCTCTTCATAAGCCCAATTCGACTTACGTATGAGCCCGCGCAAACAGTAGTAAAACACAATTTGATAATCACGATGCAGCGTTTATTTCTATGGTAACGCTCGATCTATCTATCTATCTATCTATCTATCTATCTATCTATCTATCTATCTATCTATCTATCTATCTCTAGTATATTATATTAATATTAACATAATAATATTAAAATGGTAATCAAAATCTGTTACTAAGAGTTTCATGCGATGACATTATCCAAACAAGGATGGTGTTATCGCATGAAATTTTGAATAGCGGAATTTGATCACCATTTTAGTATTATTGTGTTAACTTTATTATAATAATATATTTAATCTCTGCCGACTTTGTTAGTGGGGCCTCAATTTATTTTATATTTTAACCGTTCGATTATTTTATAATTTAACTCATATTATTTATGTGTGTCTCTCACTTCCCTATGTATATGCGTGTATATGTATTTGTGTGTGCATATATATATATATATATATATATATATATATATATATATATATATATATATATATATATATATATATATATATATATATATATATATATATATATATATGTAAATCTATATAAACCCGCTGGGTGAAAAAACCTGGATGACACAATTTTCAAATAAATTGGCATCCGAGAAAAAAATGGAAGAAAAAAGAAAGCACCAGAAACCTCCGAACAGTGCGAAAGAAATCGTCCAGTGCCTTAAATCTCTGGTACAAAGAAGAAAAATAACAGCGAGTAATAAGTTAAAACGAAGGGTACTCAATACAGTAAGTAGAGCAAAAGTAACGAAAAATAAATAAATCCCAATGAGCCAGGTACCCCCTACCTAGGTTTCACCGCATGGGATCATAAGGGTAAAGAATGCATAAAAAACCTTGTCCCTAAAATATATACCCTGATGATCGCATGTGGTGAAACCTAGGTAGGTGGTACCTGGCTCATTAGGATTTATTTATTTTTCGTTAAAGACGACAGACAAGGTTTATGAGATTATCGTTTTTATTTTATCCTGTGTTCGAAAAAGTGTTTTCTTTTCTGGACATAAAGTCTGTAAAAATTGTCCAAATGTTTTATATATATATCCAGACAATTTGAGAAAGAATCTAGACCATCCCGCTGATGATTAAATTATAAAATAATCGAACGATTAAAATATAAAATAAATTGAGGCCTCACTAACAAAGTCGGCAGAGATTAAATATATTATTATAATAAAGTTAACACAATAATACTAAATAGATAGAGGATATTGTTTTACCCATTATAAAGGATGACATTTTAATTTTTATTTTAAAATGAATGCTTAGATGAAAATGTCCTTTTATTTTCCAAACACGCTCAGCATATATACACACACACACACATATATATATATATATATATATATATATATATATGCTGAACGTGTTTAGAAAATATATATATATATATGTTTGTATGCATATCATGAAAATGTTATAACTTATCTTTATTATCTATGCACAGTCATATATGTATCCTTAAATCATACCGATTTTGTTTATTTCTTGACAGTCCATTAAACTTATACATAATATAGAATAATTTTTAAATTGAAATTTAGATAGACAAGCGTTCATTGTTCATATTTAAATATCTCAATAAAATTGTTGAAAATATGGATAAGAAACCTTGTTTCTAAAATATATACATAAAAAAGAATAATCTAATTTAATGAAAATTAACTAAAGAATCTAATAAATGTTTGATAATAATCTTTGGCTGAAACAATTTTTGCAGAAAAATGTAAGGTGCCTTTACAGTTTAACAGATTATAAAATTTTAATTTTATTCTCTAGATTTTGAACATTTTGAGCATGGTGTTTTTCTTTTTGGATTTATTTAAATCATTTATTCTTTATTATGGAAAGTTTTAATTGATCTCAAATAATAAGCATGGTTGGTATTAACAAAAGAGGTAATCATTTCGTGAGCACACTATAAATACAAAAACTTTTATCAAATTGTATTCTTGTATAAATAACGCAAATTTTCATAAAGCATTGCCCGAAACCAAACCGCGTATAGTGTTTTTTTTCTTCTTTTGAACTTTTATGTATTTAAAGATCTCTTACTAAGCATGTATGTATATATGTATGTATATATGTATGTATATATGTATGCATGTATGTATGTATGTATGTATGTATACGTTTATAAAAAAAGTTTCATTCTTTATTTTGCAAATAATGTACGAAATTTTAAATAATCCTCAGAGATAATCTAAAAGATTCAATGTGTGTTTATATTTTTGTTGAAGTGAAACACGCACTAGATTATATTACAGATTATTGTTCAGTGTAAGTAAAAACCTACAATGCCGTGACGCGGCACGCGATAAAAAAACAAAAAACAAAAAAACTCATGACTAAAGCACCAATGGATGGTGGTGAGGAAAGACCCGGTATTTTCTGAAAACAAGAAGAGAAAAATTCATCAAATAATTCAACCAATCATTCTAATCTTGAAATAATTAAATCGGTGGACGCGATGCCAAACCAATTAAAATATTCAATAATTATTCTGCTGCTAACACATATTGATGCTGCTGCTAATCCAACGAGACAGTATAAATATTTCACTCACAAGAGAAGTATTTAGAAGCTGACATTGGAGATTAAGGGACAACAAGTCTCTTTATTATTTCAGCTGTTTCTTTTCAGCGGGATGGTCTAGATTCTTTCTCAAATCTTCAGTCAAGTACTCCAACAACGATGGGCACGACTGTCGTATTCCAAATCTTTTTCGCAACGATTACGACAATTCTTCTATTTCCCCGCTTCAAATAATAATAATGATAATAATAATAATAATAATAGTAAAATTATAAGTCTAATAGCATCATCACGACTACTACGGTGTACACTCTCTGCCTTTTTCTCTCTTCAATTAATAATAATAATAATAATAATAAATATCAGTTACTGCCTAGGTTAAGGCCTTCGGGCGAAGAGGAACCCGGACGAGGCTCCGCCGAAGGGTAGAGTCTCGTTCGGGGTGGTTGATTGCCCCTGAACCCGTTTATGCGGGTTCAAAGAGGGAATATTTTTGGCCGAGCCTATAGGCTCGGAAATCCCCCGTTAAACCCGGCCTTGTGCCATATATAACCCTTGTGGGGGGGTAGCTAAATATCACTTACTACTTGATTCTTTTGATTTCTTTTATTGTTCTCGCTGCTTAATAATGTTTCTCTTTTTCTGATTCTTTCAAACCCAGCAACCATTTGGGTTTTAGTGACTCTACTGCCTTGCATCGTGTGACATTATTAAAAAAAAAATAAATAATTGTTTAAATTATATTTGTTTAATAAATACTTAGAGAGATTACGAACATATTGACGTTTTCAAACAACCAAAATTACAATTATCAAAAAGACTATGGAAGAGAATGTGGAAACTTGCTGTCACTTGACATTCATCAGATGAAAATGGCGTAAATGATTACTAAATAAAAGTATTCCAGCGTCTTATTTAATACATTTGTTGGTATAAAATAAAATATAAGAGTATCCCCCTTACAATCTCTAAAATGTAAAAATAATAATAATAATTTGAAAAGAAGGTGAATATATTAATATTTCACGTTAAAATCTTCTTTAAGTAGAAATAAACTACAATTATGAATGCAGCAAGCTAAATGAAAGAATCTAGAAAGCAGATATGATAGGGTAGGATCGGCGTCAGTGTAGAATCTCTGCAAACGGCATAAATTATTAAGAACACTTATGCGAGAAAAATATGAAATAATCCTGTATATTTTCAGACCTTCCCCTCCACAGAAAGGGACAAAACCTGGTTGTTGCAAACTGAGGCCTGGGCTCACAATATCTGACGGACTTGTTATCTTCGATGTCGGAAAAATTGGTAATTCAAGGATAGTTCCTAGCCAAGGTGGCCCCGGAGTTTACAAGGATATCAACGAATATGCTGGATAGTAGAACAGACTTGATGTTACGTGATCCCCGGCATTTGCCCTTTCATTTGGCGTGAACGGGCAAATGTAAGAATAACTATCATAAAGTGACTCAGAGTCAGTAAAGATAAATGACGGAGTAGGAACAGTAATCAACTAAGAACTGTGCAAATAACTGAGATTTGCTTATCGTAACACGATAAATGTTTAAAACATAGGCCAGAGGAGGAAAATCAAAATCCGAAGTATTTTAAAATTTGAACGGATTGCCCAGACCCGGCCAGTAGGCTATATCCAGTTATCGTAAACAGTTATGGGTAAATTTCGCAGTTTCTGCTGAATTAAAAAAAAAGACAGAAACTTTAAAGCAATAATCGGAATTTACCAGCAAAATAACAAAAAAGAAATATTATAGATTATGATGATGACAACTCTACCCATTCTTGTTGAAGTGCTTGAAACAGTCTGTCTATATTATGTACATTATTTACATTATTCGGACGATTGTCCTCATCTTTGTCGCCATATTTATTACAACGTTTCGGCCGTTGTACGCTCCGGCCTTCTTCAGGTGGTTGGAATCTCGAACTGAACCCTTTATTTCGCTCACCGGGGTAGACTGTTCTAGTTCCACCTGCCATGTTTGATGGATGTTAATTTCCCTCTGAAAGTTCTCCATTGCCTTAACCTTAAGGCAGTGGAGAAATAAAGGGTTCAGTTCGACATTCCAACCACCTGAAGAAGGTTGGAGCGTACAACGGCCGAAACGTTGTGATAAATATGGCGACAAAGATGAGGACAATAGTCCGAATAATGTAAATAATGCCTGAAACAGATCCCCAAAAACTAACAAAAAAAATGTTTGAAAGAATTGGAAATCCACGAAAATAGAGAAACCATCCGTATGACAGCATTACAAAATCGTCTAGAATACTATGGAGAGTTCTGGTGGATTGAGGAGACTTGATATCTTGTTTCCCTACAGGACATCAGACAACAAAAACAGCATTATTAGTATTATTAGTAGTATTTTAGCCATTGTTGCTGCTGATAATACTGGAAGAGTTTTGCGGTGTAACGAATATCGGCTCGGAGTGAGAAACGAGATCGAATTCCAGTCAGGTTCATTAGATTTACATACGCACGCATACCTTTGGAAAAGGTATGAATCCATCTCTTCTCTCCCCACCTATGGGTTTAATAGCAGGACAGGGTTCT